TTTTGTTTTTATGAATATCTCAAAAACAAAAAATCTGAAGAAACCCACTTTTTCCTAGAACAGCCCCCATATGATTTCTTGTAGCTCAGAAATTACATGTATAACTGTTTCATTTTAGGGAAGAAGTCTGGGATAATCCAACTTTTGGGAAGAAATTTGCCAGTTCGCAAAGCGAGGGGACGTATGTAACTGACATCATAGTCCCTGTTATTCGAACCACATTGAAAGGCCTTCCAGTCGGAAAATCTGCTTTTGTCAGCACGTGAGTATGATTATTTCTCGATTTTTAAGGGAAACATATTCTTATTTGCATGTTTTATGTCCACACCAGTGCAGAGCGACAAAGCATAGCCAGTAAAGATCGGAGAGGAAAGAGAGGGAAACGACCAGATGTGATGTTTTTGGTTAAACATAAAAGAAAATTATATGAACTAATGTATTCCGAATGCTCACGTCTGGTCTGTGATGATGATAAAGAATTAAGTGATTGGGTGAAGCTGTGGCGAGAATTGAACGATGGAATGTATTGGACTCGTAAGGGTTGCAAAATAGATGATGATTATTTCGGTATTGTTGGGATTCAAATTGCTGGAAAGATGCTCCATCTATTTATTCTTATTCGAGGTGGAGATGAATTACATCGTTTATACCGTTTACGCTCTGTGGAAATCCCAATACAACACACCACAGATACCGAAAAGCTGATTGAGTTCGTGGAAACATTGTTATTATTACGGGTATATTCACTAAAAAATATATGATGTTCCGTTTTATGACCTATCTAAGTTTACTAAGTTTACTTGTATCATATAGAATATTATGGTCGTCAACCTATCCCTATTATTCAACTCCAAGAAGACCGCAAGTGGAAATAGTGAAAATAGTTCAACGGTATCTTCCCCATAGGTTTGATTTTATATTTATTTCTTATATTTCTTTGAATTTTATCGTTAATCAACTAATTATAAAAAATACGAGTCACATAACTCTATACTCCATATATTAAAAAAAAATAAACCAAATTATTTGCAATGCATATTACCCTCGCCAGTTCTGCTATGTATAATCCGAATCGAGATTATTTACCTCTAAATATCTGCATAGTTCTACATAATCAAAAATCGCTTCCGTATCTTGCGTATTCTTATTTATTATAGTTATGTGATCTTCATCTTTTCTTTGCATGTACTTATCCTGGTTTAAAAATTGAAAATACTGCTTAGGATTATCGGTGAATATTCCTAGAGTTTTACGTCTGTTAGATTTACGAGACATATTAACATATCTATATAAATAAATGACTTCAATTTTTTCTCGACATATATTAATTCACTTTTATAGTTTTATGTGCCATTAAGCCCGTTGCATATTTAGTTTTACTAAAGGTTTCGCTAAAAGTAATTGTAATTCATAGTTAAAATCAGTCAACATGACCCGCTTTATTATTGATATATAAAAAATGTTACCAAAATAATAACATAAAAATAAAATAAAAAATCTTATCGCAGTTATATACTGCAGACGTAAAAATACATATCGTATTTACATGATGCAAATCATTTCTTTTTTATAAAGCCGGCCAATGATAATGGTATAATCTCAATACTTTGCTCTTTCTGTTGTTTTAACTTAAAAATTCTCCTACCATCGACAGATAACTCGTAGCTATTTATCCAAGTTATGAGATAACTTTTTCTATTCTCAACGAGTACAGTTGAAACTTTATTTTTAGTCGCTACATTCATAAAAACTACATTTTCTATGCCTTGGCATGAGCTCCGCTCTAAATCGTCAATTGGAATATCATTTTTATCTACAAGAAAAACCCTCGCGACGTCTTCATTTAACACTTCAATCTTTACTCGGATGTTCTCGTGACCAGTATCAAAGTCTTTTGTTTCTCCTTCCACATATAAAATTTTGTTTTCTGACATCGTAACTGCTAAGAAAAAACAAAACTATTAATTAATACATGAAGTTGTAACTATATTTCTGACTCAAAAATTTATTCATAATGCGTACCTTAAAAAAAATTCGATAAGATAAGAAATGAAGCCTCACAAATCCGCCTTATTTATATAGTTTCATTTGTTACCCGAGAACCTGTTAGAAGAAAAAAATACATGATTAGTAATTACGTTACCCCAACCATTTTCCAGATCCTTTCTTCGTAAAGCAAGTCAGGTCACAAGCGCCAAGCACTAAATATATGAACCATAGACTATATTTCACCTTTTATGGGGAAATTAAACCTTCCAGTTTGGCGATCGCTTTTGTAGAATAAAAAATAAGACAGATTTTGGCGATC